AATTATCAATTTCATTCTCATTTTCTTCCCTCAAGCCCTCCATTCCAGCTGAGCTTATGCACCATGTTAGTTCATGTCTCTAAAGACACTCTTCCCTCTGTCTGGCAATCTCTGTCAGAAAAATTGCTACTCTTTCATGACCACCCAGGACAATTGTCACCCCCTCTGAAAAGCCTTATCCAGCTCCTACAGTCAGATTGTTCCTTCTCTGTGTGGGAGGTTCCCTGTGAGTGTCTGTATTACTATTATTGCAAATACTATGTCATTATTCATCTCCCCAGTAGACAGTAAACATTTCTTTTTAAAAAATTTTTTTTAATGTTTATTTATTATTGAGAGACAGAGAGAGACAGAGCATGAGAGGGGCAGAGAGAGGGGAGACACAGAATCTGAAGCAGGCTCCAGGCTCTGAGCTGTCTGCACAGAGCCCGACATGCAGGGCTCGAACTCACAAACCGCGAGATCATGACCTGAGCCGAAGTCGTACACTTAACCAACTGAGCCACCCAGGTGCCCCTACAGTAAACATTTCTATAAATAAATGTCTCATCTGTCTTTTGTCCCAACTCTTAGCCCTGTGTTTGGCTTAAAATTGGCATTTAACAAATGTTTGTTAAATTAGTGGGTCAGGTCTAGTGAAGAAATGATTAGTTGTTTGGATTGGTACTTACGGATTTTGAGAAGTCGAAGGAATATAGGAGAGAAAGTAAATGAAAAATTAACATTATTGAGCCTATGCCAGGAGTGTACTGGGACAAGGAACAGTAGTGAACAAGAAGGCAAGGCTTCTACTGTCAAGGACTTGACTTTCCCTTTGGTCGGGGGACAGCAAGAGGCTGCAGTGAGAGTTATAATTATAGAGTATAATAGGTGCTATGGGGGAAATGGACGTGACTTATTCAGCTTATTCAATTCCAGAGAAGCAAGTATCATTAATCCACTGATGATGAGTGGATGAGCAGGTGTTCAGAGGAAGGCACTCTTGTGAATGCTGCTGAGGGCCACAGTTGTGAGTGCTGAACAGGACTCAAGCCCCTGTCTGCCCCTCCTGAGCCCGTGCTCTTTCCTCTGCCCTGTTGCCTCTCAACAAGCAGGTGAAAATCCAGAGCTCTAACTGCATTCAGATCTGGGGGTGATCTGTCTAGAGAGTTGAAACGGGAGATGAGAAGATCTCCTAGGGAGACACCGAGACTTTGGAAAGTAACGGCAGCTGATAGTTATTGAGAACTTAGTACACTCCAGACTCCACGGTAAGCATTTTACATGCATGCATGAATGTATTTATGCCACGTAACACCCCTTGTGAAGCAGGGACTCTTAATAGTCCCACTTTACAGTCCAGGAAAGGGGACCTTAGGAAGAGTAAGTCAACAGAAGTCACACACCAGAACCTAACCTCTTACCTTATGCTACCTTCTTGAGAGAGAGGACTGAGATCAGAAGCCTGGTAAGGAAATCATGGAACCAGAGAACAAGATGGCTTATTTAGGGATGTTGATGAGGGGGGACAAGTGTCCTGAGAGTCCAAGAAACCCTGTTAGAAAAGGAACCAGTGTACAGAGTCCAAGTCCATGGAAAAACCCAGCAAAGAGACATGAAGGTTGTGGGATTCCACTGACCCGCGTTGGTAAGAGACCTTTAACAGAGCTCTTTTGGGAGATGGAAACCTAACTTCCTCAGGCTCACTACCCAAGCCTCTGCTTGCTGCCTGACCTGCCCCACTCTCCCGGATTCCTGTTCTGATGTCTCCTGCTCAACCTGTCTGCTTAGGGAAGAAGGCTTGGACTGCGCTTCTCACTTCCAACCCACCTCCACGCTGATCTGTCTTCCTGACCCAGCACCTGCAGAGCTAACTCTAACCCACTGGCGCACCACCTGCAAGCTACACCAGCCTCCGTTGAGACCATTCATTTACAGCACATGTCCAGGCAGCCTGACAAAGGACAACGGTGACCCCCTACCAAGGACACGTGCTGGACAAGCAGGTAGGTGCCAATGGCTCAGGGAAGCGGGAGGGAAGAAAAGGCAAGAGGTTCCAGTGAGAGTGAATTAGCCAGGCACTCACCGAGGCTCTTTGTCAATAGTGCTCAACTTCCTTTACTGGCTTAATTGGATCTGCACAGAGCAATTGAAAGGAGTAGCTCGAGGACCACATGATTTAGCTTCCCTATCCCCATTCCAACCATAACTGATTGGAACCGGATGGACACCTTCCCCAAGAGGAGGATCTAAGGGTTGGCTCCTCTCCCTGGACTTCGGAATTGGGCCACCTAGTGATTGAATAGCTGGGGACACAATGGTACTAATGACTGCAGTGGTCCACAGCTGCCCTGTGAGGGAACCGAGCTGAGTCAGAGAGACTCATGGCAGAGCACGGGGTTAATAAAGGTCCGTGAACTCTTGCTAAAGGCTTTCAGCTGCCCCCATCCCTGCTCTTCTTGAAGGCTGATAGTTCAGCTCTCGGGTTTCCACAAGTCCTCTCTAGTAAAATTTGGCTTAGTATGAGTAGATTTCTGTTAGTGTTATCCAAGGTCTCCTTGGCAAAGATAGGGTTTTGCAGGACTGAGAGCATGGAGCAGGGATCCAAGGATGAGAAGTTAGAAGTTTAGGGTTTGGGAAGCACCACAGTTAAGTGTTGATGTCTAAATCTGAGTGGCTGTGACTCCCTCCCTCGAATTGTAAAGATGAATCCATTCCATTTTGTTTGGCAGACATTTATTGGGCACTTGCTTTGTACCTGGCACTGTACTGGGTACTAGGGCAGCAAATAACCCGCAGCTGCTCTTGTGCTCACAGTTTCAGAGTGGGTACAGACACAGAAATATATTACAGTATAACATAATGAAAGCAATGATGATGGACAAAGTCAACGGCAAAGCGGGTGGCAGAAGGGAGTTGTGGAAAGCAAGGGGGACTTTGGACCACAGCTTGGAGTCATCCAGGAATTCTGGAAGGACCTGGAGGGTTTTGGCTGAGGCACTGAAACGGGAAAGTGGGAGAGAGCAAAATCTCTTTGCATTCAGCACAGGTGGGCTTGCTGAAGAATGGTGTCAGGACCATCTGGAAGGTTCTAAGATGAGTGAAGAAAGAGCCAACCTCTCTTTTTTTTTCCCAGGGAGACTGGGAAATGGGGCATGAGTCGCTAGAGAGAATAGAAACAATAATAAAAAATGTGCTGGGAGAGAAGGCTAAGGCAGAGAAGGGTGGGCATCTCAGGAATGAGCAATGGCTGGGAGTAGAGGGAACTGGACACGGTTTAAGGGCTCCAAAGATAATGGCGAGTGTTCATTTAATATTTCCTGGGCACAGTCTACATCGTAGGTGCCACAGTGGGCACATGGCCCCTGCCTTGCAGAGCAGTCAAGTGGAGAAGACAGACATTAATCAAATAATCACACAAATAAATGTAAAAAAAAAACCCAAAAAACTCAGTAGAAGATAACTGGTGAAGATGGAGGGAAGTGGGTAGACTACAATTTAATTGCATCTTGGATTTGGGATTCAGACAGACACTCTGACAAAGAGAGGGGAAAAGAAACAAAGATGACAAGGGAGAGAGGAAGTTCAGGGCCTTGGGAGAATCTACAAAGGGAGTGGGCACACCTGTAACTGCTTTCATTTCTCCAAATCATGTGAGACTCATTGAAATTCATCTCCATCCAGGGAACAAACTTCCTTCCTTTATTCATTCATCCATTTGTCCATCCATCCACCCATTCCCCAGTAAGCCAGGTCCTATGCTAGGTGACACTAGGGAAGAAGCTGAAAGGGACGCCTGTGTGGCTCAGTCAGTTAAGCATCTGACTCTTGATCTCAGCTCAGGTACTAATCTCATGGTTTATGAGACTGAGCCCGCATCGGGCTCTGCCTGACAGTGCAGAGCCTGCTTGGGATTCTCTCTCTGCCTCTCTCCTGCACTCTCTCTCAAAATAAACATTAAAAAAAAAAAAAAAGCTGAGAGAGACCCTCCAGCCTGAGAAGTTTATAAATGATAGAAATGCTATTTGTAACATTTCTCTACTGTTGTTTTGGCTCCCTTTCCTACAGGCAAGGGAAAGGACAAAGAAATGGCTGTACTAATCAAATTGTGGGACCAGTAGAACCTTAAAAAGAAATCAGGGCCTATCAGCACACTTATCTCTCTGTGCACAAATTGCTGAAGAAATGTGGGAAGTGGGATGAAGGGTGAGATGATATCCAAGTGGACAGAAGCTTCTCGAAGCCTCATTCCTTTCCAAGATCAGGCATTCGCTTTAGGCACCCTTCAACGAGGTGAAGAGTGTATGTGATACACGTAGAAATCTGTAAATGACGTGCCATGCAGGAATATATTTACAGAGCTCTATAGTTTATAAAATGAAGAGTCCATTTCTTTTAAAAGGGGTGTTCTCACAGAAAGCTGTAGAACAGTCACTTGGATAAGGAGGAGGTTATAGAGCCTGTGATTCTCAGGAATCCCAGGAACCCACCTGCAGTGGCCACAGTCATGGGCTGGGTGGTTCCCCCCCCCCTGTGACTGCCTGCATTGGGCACCCTGGTCCCGGGATGGTCGTCCCTTGATCTGGCCTTGGCCCTCCAACGTCTCTTGTTTTAGCTGCTGTTGTCAATTTACATTCACTGATCATACCTACTCCTGGGGAAGCCTAAGAATTTCTCAAACTGGAGGCCTCCCGTGCTCCAAGAGCAAACCAGTGTATGCTTTGAATTCACCTGTTAGCAACACAAGTTAGCATCATTCCAAAAGGTTTGCCTTAATTATCCCCAACAGGTGGATTGTAGATAGCATATTTTCTTTTTGCATCTGTGCATTTTCTAAATTTCTTTCAAATAACCACAGATTCCATCAGTAACAAAGAAAAATAAACATTTCTTTTTTTTTTTTTTTTTTTTTTTTTTTTAGTTTAGTTTGAGAGAGCCAGAGTGGGGTAGGGGCAAAGAGGGGGTGGTGGTGGAGAGAATCCCAAGCAGGTTCCATCCTGTCAGTACAGAGCCCACCGTAGGGCCCGAACTCATGAACTGTGAGATCATGACCTGAGCTGAAATCAAGAGTTGGCTGCTTAACCAACTGATCCACCCAGGTGCCCCAAAAGATAAACATTTCTTAAGGATTGCTTAAAATGAGAATTGGCCTGTAAAGTGACCCTTCTTCACTTCAACTGAAAAACAAGCTCCATTTGTTTCTCTCCTATCTCTCCATCCACTGTCACTGTAAGCAAGGCTGTCACTGTCTTCATCTGCCCTTCTTCCCTTATCCACTTACTATCTTAGTCCCAGCAGCTGCCCCTTTTGCTGTCTCTCTGTCCCCACTTCCTCCAGCACCAACCCACTTTAGAGGAGATGGGAAGCTGGGGTGTGGCTTTCCTGCCTTCCCAGAGCAAACAGCCCAAGAGAGAGGCTGTTGTCAATAAGGAGGAGCTCTCTTATTGCATAGTAGCTAAGCCAAAGCAAAATAAATAAAAGCATATTCACATTTCTCAAACCACTCACAGATGTGGCCCCCATGGGATTTCAAAGAACCCTTCACAGACTTGCCTCCCGAACCCACACAGCAGCCCTGTGAGGTAGGTCAGTCTCCATTCCTATCTGCATGCAGGGACCTGGAGGAGTTTGGCACAGGGCACGTGGGGTCGAGTCCAGAGTGAGGTCTCCCGTTAGACCTTCCCTTTAAGATGCTTGACGAGCAGAGCTGCCTGAGTGACCGGCAGCAGAACTGACAGGCCAGAACAAACGAGGCCCCAGGACGCAGCCAGACAAGGCACTGGGCTGTTGGGAGCCTGGCTATTTCTGACTTGCCCTACTTAGGGGCTCCCTTCCCAGGACTGTTCCATAATCCAAGGTCGTTTGACATTTTGCAATGTGACATCCATGGGACGCTGCTGGAAAAAACCCAGCTTATTCATACGTCCACGTGCCTTGAGGAAAAAGGTGAGGTGACGCTTTAAAAAAGCCTGTAGTTGTAGCTTTCTTGAAGTCACTGGTGCCCATGTGTCCCGGCATGTTACATCTGCAACCTTGGGCACAGAATAGGTTGGAAGACTGTTTCGGTGTTTTCCATCAGAACAAGATCATACCGACACAACTGGGGCCTGTAAAAATAAGACAGGATATCCTTGCCAATCAAGTAGTAAAAATATCCCATTCTAGAAAAATAAATTGTATTATATCCTTAGGTTATAAAATTGTGGAGCAATTATTTCTAACATTACAGGAAAGTGCTTATGGTAAATAAGCATAGCCCACATCAACAACAATGAGATATAAAATTTTATTTACCACCTAACTATTTCCAGGTTTAAAGCAATGATAGAAAGGAGGTTAGAAAGAAATAACAGTTGTTGGCCCTGAATAATAACATTATGGATGGTATTTTTCTGCTTCTTAACACTTTTTGCACTTTCCAGATTTTATAAAATCAACATGTATTCCTTTGGTAATCTGGAAGAAAAAGTATTGAAAAGTCCCATGGTTTTAAGATGTAATGACTGTCCTCTTAGAAGCAACTTGCATTATTAAATGTTTGCCTTCAGGAAAAAGGAATCCAGGGGCACCTGGGTGACTCAGTAGGTGAAGCCTCTGACTCTTGTTTTCAGCTCAGGTCATGATCTCAGGGTTTGTGGGTTCAAGCCTGGCATCGGGCTCTATACTGGCAGCATGGAGCCTGCTTGGGATTCTTTCTCTTTCTCCCCCTCTGTCTCTGCCCCACCCCTGCTTACAATCTCTCTCTCAAAATAAGTAAATAAACATTAAAATTTAAAAAGAATTCATAAGCATAAAGTGCTGAATGCTCACAGCATTTTCTGTCTTGTCCACAGATTGTATGCTAGGACTATACATTGGAGTGGCATTAGTCACAAAACGTACATGCCACCACAGCTTTGCTCTTTCTCCCCCTCTTTGACTCTGTCCCCCCTGTACACACACACCCACATACACACACACACACACACACACACACACACACTCTGTTGCTTATTTTTTTGGAACCAATGAAGATAGGTTGTTTACCCCTTAATACTTCAGTGTGTATTTCCTAAGAACAAGCACATTCTCAGGGCAGTTATGAAATTCAACCTGGAGTAGTACTTTCATACTGTATCCATGGAATAAAATACTCCAATTATTCTGTACCTTTTTTTTTTTTTTTTTTAATTTTCTTTTTTTTGAACGTTTATTTATTTTTGGGACAGAGAGAGACAGAGCATGAACGGGGGAGGGGCAGAGAGAGAGGGAGACACAGAATCGGAAACAGGCTCCAGGCTCTGAGCCATCAGCCCAGAGCCTGACGCGGGGCTCGAACTCCCGGACCGCAAGATCGTGACCTGGCTGAAGTCGGACGCTTAACCGACTGCGCCACCCAGGCGCCCGTTCTGTACCTTTTTTTATACTAGGCTGTGCATTTGCCAGATTATATGAGGCTTTCTTTTCCACAGCATATACCAGCTTGCAAGCAGTGTGGGTGGAGTGATTAGGGAAGAATTATATAACTGTAAGCATGTAGCAACATTATTTTTTTGGATTAATTGGGCCATTTATCTTTAAGCTCCTACCAGTAAAATTGTCTTGAATTATGGGGCTACTCATCTTTATCAAGTCTATTTTTTGAAAACCCTCCACGTCCTTCATTGTAATTGATGAGGTCCTACTAAAACATCAGACCAAGGAGATTGGACAGAAACCAATAGCATCTTTGGAAAACCAGAGCTTGTCAAACGCTGCTGATGGCTCACCTCTCTGGATGGGCAAGTGACCTCAACTTCATTCGGAGAATCCTGAGCTTATACTTCGGGCCTATTGTAGACCCTGTAGAGAACACCAAGGAAATGGCTGCAACTTTATCCAAGTCCTGATTAAATCTTGCAAGCAGACTCACTTGGTGGTATTTCTGAAAAGTTGCAGGTTCACTGGAGAGAAGAAATGAAGTAAGTGGATATAGATTGCTAACGAAAGAAAACAGTTTCAAAAGCTACAAATCACTCATAAGCAGGTAGTCCCGTGACCCCACAGTCTGCTGGATTTCAGAGGATTGCATAAGTGAGGCTGCTGGCCCCAGGAATGATGAAATATTATGGCATAAGAGAGGCATGCTCTGCCTACTATATACCGGATAGCATCCTCATTTCTTGACACATGTCTCCATTCCCCTGAAAAATTCTTCAAGATGACTATTATCTTCATTTTACAGACAAGGAAACAGATGCTTGCAGAGCTTAAACTCACCCAGGTCACAATGCTTCTCAGAATCAGTGCAGGGATTCAAACTCAGTTCAGAGTTCAAAGTTACAATCTTTCCATTAAACTGCATTGCTAGATGCATATGTATATGTTTAGCCCAACTAGATACTAATTTAGAAGTTATGCTTAAGCAAATATTTTTTTCAGTCATGCCTCTCAAATAAAATAGCTAAATCCTAAGTTCCAATACTTTTTCCTATGTATGTGATGCTTCCTACAGTTGGAATCTCAAATTGAGCCTACGGAATATCCACTGGGGAGGTTCACTGGGTCAGTGTCCCTCTAGGGATCTGGGGAAGTAGACCATGGCGAGCCCCCTGGCTCAGAAATGGGAGACTTGCTCTAGAAATGAATCATCAGTTTGGAGGTGGGGATTAGGGTGAGGGGGTGTGTGTCACCCCAGCCTCACTAGAATCATGTGTTGAGTCCTGGGAGGAGCAAAAGTGCCACAAGTAAAACTAATCCGAAAGGTACCCAGATTTTAGTTTCTAAATACCATCCTCGCTAAAAGGAATGGGTAGGAGGCTTCCGGGAGAAATGGTTGATTCCAGGGCTAGGTCAGGGAAAGTGCAAAGTGCTCCTGCAACAAGCCGTATGCCAGAAAGTAAGGAATGCTCACAGAATGGTGGAAATGTTCAAAAGAATACAGAATCACTTCACGTGAATTAGGATGGCGAAGAAGTGTTGATGAGGATATGGAGAAATTGGAACCCTTGTGCACTGTTGCTAGGAATATAAAATGGTACGACCACAATGGCAAATGGTATGGGGTCTCTTCAAAGAATTAAAAATAGAATTACCATATGATCCAGCAATTCTACTTCCGGGTATGTGCCCCAAAGAAACGAAAGCAAGGTCTCCAAGAGATATTTGCACACCCATGTTCATAGCAACGTCGTTCATAAGAGCCAAGAGGTAGAAGCAACCCAAATGTCCATCAGTGGATAATGGATTATCAACATGTGATACATACAATGAATATTATTCAGCCTTTAAAATGAAGGAAATTCTGTCACATGCTACAACATGGATAAACCTTGAGGACATTCCGCTAAATGAAATAAGCCAATCACAAAAGGATATATATTGTTTGGCTCCATTTATATAAGGTGTCTAAAGTAATCAAATTCATAGAAACAGAAAGTAGAATGGTAGTTATCAGAGGCTGGAGGGAGAGAGAAAAGGGAGTTGTTGTTCAATGGGTATAGAATTTCAGTTTGCAAGGTGAAAAGTTCTGGAGATTTATTTCACAATAATGTGAATATTCTTAACACTACTGAACTGTATACTTATAAATGATTAAGATGATAAATTTTACATTATATGGTTTCATCACAATAAAAAATGCATTTTAAAAAAAGGGTGCAGACCCAGTTTGAAGAGCTTCTAATGGCCAGATTTGAGACAATTTAAATATCAAAATAAATAAATAATGGTAGTAACTAATTATAAGTCTCCATTAATAAAATAAAAATCCAGGGCGCCTGGATGGCTCAGTCAGTTAAGCGTCCAACTTCGGCTCAGGTCATGATCTCATGGTTCGTGACTTCAAGCCCGGCGTTGGGCTCTCTGCTGTCAGCACAGAGCCACTTCAGAACTCTGTCTCCCTCTCTCTCTCCCATTCTCTCAAAAATAAACATTTAAAATAAAATAAAAATCCACGAGTCCATATTGATATAACCAAATGAATGAATGAATAAATGGGAGGAAAAGAAAGCTTTTCCTAAATGATGAATTTGAAAAATCACCATTCAACCATCATAGTAACAATCCAACCACAAAACATCAAAACTGTTGGGTAAAAGTTTCAGGAATAATGGGACATTTTAGCAATAATGGGTCTCAAAGTACCTCCCTGCAACATACTTACTAATACCAGGGAAAAACAGTAACTTCATAGTGGAGAAACTGGGGGGAAAAAACACCGTAATAAACTGATCCAAGTTAATGAAATGAACCAAAGTGTGGGCCTCCTAATAGGACACACGGAGCCAAACATAACGTCACTTCTATGCAGTTTTTGCCAGAGATGCATGATCTGAATGTCATCATGAGGAAGCATCAGACAAACCCAAATGGAAGACATTCTGAAAATAACTGACCTGTAAAGTCAGGAAAGTCGAGGAAAGATGGAAGAACTATTCCTATGTGAAGACTAAAGAGACAGGATAACCAACCTCAGTCAGTGATCCTGAATTGGATCCCTCTCCAGGAGCAGCTGTGGAACCACAAGAGTGCAGAGACTCAGGAGGGGGTGATGGCACCCTGCAGATGGCAAAACCCCGTGGGGGTAGATGGAAGGCAGGAGAGGGAAGAGACCTCTTGGAGCTGGTGAAGCTTGTCTCTGAGTACAGGTAGGACCCCCTCTTCCACCTGGAGGGATGTCCAGAAATACACGGGGAGGCACAAACCAAGGTATTGGGTTCATATAAGAATAAAGGGAACAAGAGCCAGCGAACTATGGGTTATGACCTATAATAGGAGCCAGATGTTTGTTTCTGGTAGTAGGTACACTAAACACCCTGGAAACTCCTAATGGTGGATACAATTAAAGCAAAAACAAAACTAAAACCCTTTTGAATCACACTGAACTAAGAGGAAAGTAAAGAATACTGAGGAACCTTAAAAATATGTGAAGGCAGAAATACTGAAATCCACTTTTGTTGGCCTTTTTTCAAAGTTAGTAATGAGTTTTCTTTTTCAGTGCAGTGCAATCAGACATGAAACAAAGCCAGTCATGGAGGGGAGTTGAATAGGAGACTCTCTGGGGAGGGGTGAACTAAAAATGATTTCAAAGTAAAACTTCCTACCACCTAAGGGGACAGAAACAATCCCTATCAAAAATCCCAGCTGCCTTTTTTTCTTTTTTCTTTTTTTGCAGAAATTGTTAAACTAACTTTAAAATGCATATGGAAATTCAAGAGACCCAGAATAGTCAAAACAACTTTGAAAAAGACCCAACTTAGGGGATTCACACTTCCTGATTTCAAAATTTGTTAGAAAGCCACAGTAATGCTATAAGCTACATGACAATGTGTACTTGCATAAGGATAGATGTATAGATCAATGGAATAGAATTGAGAGTCCGGAAAGAAGCCCTTTCATTCACTGTCACCTGACTTAGGCAAGGATGTCAAGACATTCACAGAAAAAGAATAGTTTTTTCAATAAATAGTGCTGTGACAACTGGATATCCAAAGGCAAAAGAATGAAGTAGGACATCCTACATCATTCTATATGCAAAAGTGAACTCAAAATGGATCAAAGACCTAAGTGAGACCTAAAACTATCAAGGATTTGTGTCCAGAGTACATAAAAAATTCTTGCAAATCAACAATAAAAAGATAATTCAATTTTAAAGTGAGTGAGGGGCCCCTGGGTGGCTCAATCATTAAACATCTGATTTCGGCTCAGGTCACGATCTCACGGTTTGTGAGCTCGAGCCCTGCTTCGGATGAGCCCCACTTCTCTCTCTCCCCCTCCTGGGATTCTTTCTCTCTCTCTGTCTCTTGCTCACTTGTGCCCCCTCTCTCTCTCTCTCTCTCTCAAAAACTATAAAAATAAAAATAAAATAATAAATGCCTGTTTTTAAAAATAAAAATAAAGTGACTAAGGCACACACACAAAAAAACCTATACCCGATGTTTATAGCAGCTTTATTCAGAATTATGAAATAGCCAAAATGTCCTTCATCAGGAAAATGGATAAACTGTAGTACATTCAGACAGTGGAATATTATTCAGTGCTAAAAGGAAATGAACTAGCAAGCTATGAAAAAAAATGAAGAAAACTTAAATTCTATTACTAAGTGAAAGAAGCCACTCTAAAGATTAAATACTGTATGACTCCAATTACATGACATTCTGGAAAAGGCAAAACTATGGAGACAGTAAAAAGACCATTCCCTGCCAAAGGTTAGGGAAGAGAAGGATATTATAGGCAGAACACAGAGGATTTTTAGGGCAGTGAAACAACTCCATGGTCCTATAATGGTTGATATATGTTCTTACATGTTTGTCAAAACCCATAGAATGTACACCACCACCAGTGAACCCTAATGTAGGCTATGGACTTTGGGTAATGATGCGTCAATGTAGATGCTTCAGCTGTAACTGTGTATGCCACCCTATTATCAGGTTTTGATAGTGGGGAGGCTGTGTGTATGTGGGCGAGAGGGTATATGGGAGATCTCTGCACTTCCTGTTTAATTTTGTTGTGAATCTAAAACTGCTCTAAAAAATGAAGTCTATTTAAAAGGGAAAAAAATGAGGGCACTCGGTAGCTTAGTCAGTTGGGCATCCAACTCCGGCTCAGGTTGTGATCTCCTAGTTCACAGTTTATAGTTTGTAAGTTCGAGCCCCGAATCGGTCTCCCTCAGGGGAGCCCACTTTGGACCTTCTGTTCCCCTCTCTCTGTGCCCTTCCCCCCACCTCTCAAAAATAAGTAAAAGGGGAAAAAATGAATAAAGGACCTGAATAGACATTTCCCAAAAAAATATCTAGAAATGGCCAGTAAGCACATGAAAGACTCAATGTTATTAATCATTAGGGAATTGCGAAACAAAATCATGAGATATACCATAATGCCCACTAGAATGGCTACAATAAAGAAGATGGATATGTCTGTGATAAAGACATACAAAATGTGACATATACATACAAAATATCACTCTGCCTTTAAAAAACAAGAGAAATCCTGTCACAAGCTATAACATGGATGACCCTTGACGATACTATGTTAGGTAAAATAAGCCAATCACAAAAAGATAAATATTGTAGGATTCCACTTATATGAGGTATCTAAAGTAGTCAAATTCATAGGGACACTAGAATGGTAGTTGCTAGGGGGAGAGGGAACTGGGGGAGTTGTTATTTAATGGGTATAGAGTTTGATTTTTGCAAGATGAAGAAGTTCTGGAAGTGTTTCACAACAATGTGAATATACTTTACACTACTAAATTGTACACTCAAAAAATGATTAAGATGGTAAATTTGATGTTGCATTTTTCAATCACAATTAAAAAGAAAAAAATTTAAAGACAGATAATAACAGGGTTGGCGAGGATGTGGAGAAATTGAAACTCTTACACATGGCTGGTGGGAATGTAAAATGGTGTAGCTGCTTTGGCATTTCCTACAAATGTGAAATGGAGTTATCATATGACCCAGCAATTCCACTCCTAGGTATATCCCCGAGAGAAATGAAAATGTATGTCTATGTGGAAATGGAGACACATATTCATAGCAACATTATTCATAATAGCCTCCAAAGTGGAAATAACCCGAATGTCCATCAACTGACAAAAGAATAAATAAAATGTGGTAGTGTGAGCAGAATGGCACAGTGGGAGTGAGCTGGGCTCATAACCCAGAGGTCATTGGATTGAAATAAAATGGGACATATCCATACCATGGAATATTATTTGACCATAAAAAAAAATGAAGTATTGCTATAGTATCCTGAAAACATTAAGCAAAAAAAGTCAGACACAAAAAGACCACATATTATATCATTCCATTTATATGACATTCTCAGAATAGGTAAATCTATAGAGACAGAAAGCAGATTAGTGGTTGACAGGGGATGGGGAGGAAGGAGGAATGAGGAATTACTAACAGGTATAGGGTTTCTTTTTGAATTGATAAAAATGTTCCAGAGGGGCACCTGGGTGGCTCAGTTGGTTAAGCATCAGACTCTTGATTTCAGTTCAGGTCATGATCTTGTGGTTTGTAAGCAGTGTGGAGCCTGCTTATGATTCTCTCTTCCTCTCTCTCTTCCCCTCCCCTGCTTATGCTCTCTCTCTCTCTCTCAAAATAAATACATAAACTTTAAAAAAATGTTCTGGAATTAGATGGTAATGACGTTTGCACATTTTGTTAATATACTCAAAACCACTGAAATGTAAACTTTAAAACTGTGCGTTTGATGGTGTGTGAATTATATCTCAATTAAAAAAAAAAAAGGTTATAAAGTAAAAAAGAAATACATCTAAAACATGGATACAGGGAGAGTCACCAGGAAGGTAATATTCTTGAATGTGACTATATTTGTACCCATAGTCTGGTAAGACCAAATAAACTTAGGGCACATACTCTGATATTATTTTCCTTTTCTTAAATTGTAAAAATACTAAACACTAAATCTAATAGTTTACCTTGCAAAAAATAGAAGGGTAGAGATAATCTCACCATGTAATAGAGTAACCATTTCCTTTTTTTTTTTTTCTATATATTCTCTGATTGGTGATGACTTTTCACAAGCAAGACTAAAATAAGAACAACTGAACATGAATAAAATAGAGACGTTAAGGTCTCTATCTGAATCGAGAAAAAAAAAAAACCCTCTGCAGTTAGGAAGTCCTAGTTGGGAGAAATTCACTACATAAAATTAAAATTTCTAAGACATGTAAAGCCAATATGTAGTCAGTTACTGGCATGAATAACCAAATTTTGTAGGTCACTACTTCTCATAGAACTGCACAATTTTCCTTGCTATTTCTTAGAGTCTCCAGATGAGGTCTCTGCCCAACTTCCTTACTGAGGATCACAGCCCATAAACTACCTGACGCTGGTTGTTCAAGATGCTCCCCCTAGCCTTGCCCTCCCTGAAAATGTAGCACCACTGGGTTTGGGGACATCGGTGCTGAAAGGCATGTGATATTGGCCAATCACTTGGCCTCTCTAAGCCTGTGTTCTTATGTATATAATACAGATTATAATACCACCTCACAGGGTTTTAGTGTGAATTGCATTAGCCAGCATGTGTAATGTGTTTAGTTCAATAAAGAAAGGCTGTTGTTATTATCATCCAAGGATACATTAAAAAAAAAAGTCACCTCCAGACCACCAGCACACTCCTTCTCTATTCATCTACATGGTGAACCTATAGGCAATTGCCAGTTTCAGATGACATTCTAGTTGGTCCTCTATGGGTGAAGCCAACAGACAACCCAAGTGCCTAGTAGATAACAGGACCCCCAAAAAATGTTTCCTGAGTAAATGAATAAAATGAACCTCAAATTTCTTTGAATTATTTCCCCCCTTCTTCCTGATTATAAAATTAATTGATGAAAATGATTAACTATTTTTAAACTCTATATATACAATATCATATAAAATTGAAAAGTAAAGAGAAGCTGAATAAAGCACTCATATTCCTACCACCCAAAGGCCAGCTAACATGTTAGGCATATTTCTTTTTCATTTTTTTTACATTGTTGAACTAATTTTGTACTTTATAAAATTTAATATCCTGGATTTTTCATTTAGCACATTATAAGCATTTCATTCAATATGTTGCAAAAATTAACCTATGAATAGTATTTTATTATATAGGAATATTTAAGTAACCATTTTCCCATTGTTAGATTTTTAGTGTGTTTCCAATTTTTTATTATTGCACATCACATTTTCTGAGTTTGAGAAACATACATTTACATGTTTATATATATGTATATTATGAGCGCATAAAACGATTGAAATATGTGTGTGGGGGTGAGTGCCTTTAGGTGTGGGATTGTTGGGCTGGGGCAAGTATTTGCACTTTTATGTTATATATTTCTTTACTGTATAAATCCTTCACAGCAAGCAAGGATGACTTTGGTAATTAAATGTTTAAACAAAGGAAGGAGGAGAGGAAGGAAGGGAAGGAGAGAGGAGGGAGAGGGAGAGAGGTGGGAAGGAAGAAAGAAAGGAAGGAAGGAAAGAAAGTAAATCCCTGTACCAATTCCATTTGTACAGAGCCTAGAAGATCAAGAACCGTGAGAAGCAACTAAGAAAAATGCCCCCTTATGTTTTTGTAGAACAAAGATAAGTACAGACCTATAAGTAAGAAAGTAGATATATTTGAGATTTAATTTCTCCAGTCAAAAAAGGAAATAGCAAACTGTGAACTACCCCAGCCCAACTTACTGATTGATTTTGGATTCTGTGGTGTTTCCAGCTCTGTCTGTCAATCTGATTGTAATGGATCCTCTTCTTATGTTCTTGTTCCAAGTTATAATGTCCACAAAGTAATGATATACTGCAAAACAGGGAGAGAGCACAGTAAGAGAGAGAGACTCCCAACTGCTCTCCTGATAGGTCAGTTCCTAAAAACCCAACCTCCTTCATAACTTGAGTTTCTTGTTCTCTTCCTCTCTAGTGTCTCTGCAGAGATCTGGGCAGAATTTTCTAAAATTCCTTTGCATTCTTTTTGGTAAAGATGGCCTGCATGATGGCAGAATCCAGTGGTCTCCAGTTGTCATGTTTGGGCATCACAGTTGGAGTGGTATTCCACCTTATTCACTGAGGTATCATGGCCTACTGCTGAGTATGATTGGTTCACTGCATTCCCTGCCTTTTAAAATAAAGCAAGCAGGTGGCCACGTAGAGACCCTCCATGGCTGACAAGGTTGTCTGCAATCTGGGCCATGTCCACCAGCCGCCATCATCTCTTCCCCAGTCATGCCACACCATGTGTGTCGCCTGCACTGCCAGGCTGCCTCTTGCTCCTGGGCCTTCTCCCCACTCGAACACTCTTACTTTGCCCCCTTTGCCAACTCATCCTTCAGGTTTTGGCTTAGTCACTTCCTCCAGGAGACCTTCACTGACCCTTAGACTAAGTCAGGTTTGCCTCTTTGAGTTCTTCTCATGCTCTGGTGTTCACCCATCATTAGCACACTTACCTGTATTTATGAAATACATGAAAAAAATGATAATCAAAAAAGTGGTAAATATATGGGTACATGTATACAAATATTGCCTGAGAAATATAGAAGGGGAAGGAGGCTCAGGAGATGTTGGTCCCACAAAGGAATAAGATCCACCCTGGAGTTGCCATTTCATGGCCCACTATTACTCAGGCACTTGCCTCACTTGGACCAGGCAGACAGCAATCCCTGGGCTGCCACACATGGCTCCAAAGGAGGAAGGAACCCCACTGATCTGCACCCTCTTTTATAAGAGTTGCTCCTAAGAAAAGTGAAAAGGGGGACAAGATTGTAAGACATCCATCTGCCCAAGAAAATTCCTACTTCCCAGGGCATTAATCATCTGCTGCCCCACTTAGCCCCCATCTGGAATACCCAAGCTCTCAGTGTCTGTAGAAGGTCATCATGGTTGCTTTGGAGCTGAAACTGACCTACAGATGTAGCTGACACCTAATTTTACCTAGCTGAAATGTCATGTCTTTTGGAGGGCAAGCAAATTTTCTGGAAGATCTTAGTGAGTAAAATGGCCATCTAAGGGGTGCACGGCTGGCTCAGTCAGTAGAGCATGCCACTCTTGGTCCCAGGGTCATGAGTTCAAGCCCTGTGTGTGGCATAGAGTATACTTTAAAAAATTTTTTTTAATTAAAAAAGTAAAAAGAATAGCCATCCAATGAAGCTAATAATTACGATTTGTTGAGATTTAATCCTTAACCCAGAAGATAGGCATTATTACCTAGCGGGACAATGAGACTCAAAGAGTTTAAATGACTTCACCAAGGTCACACAGCTACTATGTGATAGAGTCAGGATTCAACTGAAGTCTTCCCAGTTCCAAAATACACACTTTAACATGCCCTTCATTTGCCAAGAGGTAGCCAGGAAGCTGAGACTCAGCCATTTTTTAAAAAGAAGGGGTTTGGGGGTTGCCTGGGTGGTTCAGTCAGTTGAGTGTCTGACTCTTGGTTTTGGTTCAGGTCATGATCTCACGGTTTCGTGGCTTCAAGCCCCATATCAGGCTGGCAGCACGGAGCCTGTTTGGGATTCTCTCTCTCCCTCCCTCTCGGCCCCTCCCCCACTTACACTGTCTCTGTCTCTCTCAAAATAAATAAACTTAAAAAAAAGGGGGGGGGGGTTTGGGCAAAAGCAAACAACCACATCCACCACTCACTGCAGAATGGTTTCTCCTCGGCTGTGTCAAAGAACGCTTTAGTCATAGGAGGTTCTTTCTGCTTTAAATACTCTTTCCAATTATCAGCATAATAGCCTGTAAAGCAAGTTGGAAAAATGTGACATTAGCATGTATTCTATAAATGTAAAAGCAGCTGGGGAGGTAGTGAGAGCAGTGAGTTTGAGCCCCCACACCACCAAGACAATCTCCCTCATACCCACCCCTGTGGGGGTGGACCTGCAGGGCCACCAGGGCTTGCCTCCCCTGCATCCACCATATCTTGCTCGCTGCCCTGTCCCTCAGAGCTGGGACTGGCAACATGACACTACAGTGTCTCCTCCTGCCTTTCCCTGACATTACATCACCCTAGTTCTCAGCAGCATGCTGGTTCTCTCACACACTGGGTAGGCTAAGAATAGCGCTGACATTTTTCAGTAATACATTCATTTTATAGTTTAAAGCAGTTTCAGGTTTATACCTAAAATAGCATCACTCTTGCAAAGCATTGTGCTTTCCTGAAGAACTACAATTAGGCCCCTAAATCCCACAGAACCTGAGCTTGCTAAGTGACTATGTCAACCAGCAGGGGACTCTTCACTTCTGTGCCTGCAGGAATGAAGCTGAGTCACATCAGTGAGGTGTCTCTCTCTCTTCTGTCCCCACCCCTAGAGAATGGCCTTTGCATGCTGACTAATTGATCTGGAATGGAAACATTGGTAATTTTTAAAAGCTCCCTAGAGCTTTCCAATTAATTTATGCACAACCAAGGTTGAGAACCCCGTGTCTGTAGCATGCTCTAATGTTGACTTGGATTTTTCCTTAGAACAATCAGAAAATTTTCATCATCATCCCGTTTCTAGTCCTCACCATCTGGAATATTTCTACCAACCCTTAGCAAATACCCAAGCAGCCTCCGCAGTATCTGTTACCCCGCCCTGAATGTGCACATAGAAACCAGGGTGCGGCGTGAGGGCATCTACAGACAAGACTTGTTGGAAGGGATCATTCTGCAAGGCTCATTTGACAGGAGAGTCAGAGCTCACTGTGACCTTCCCCCAGCAGAGAGATTGTGTGCATGAAGAGGTTGTTTCTGTCCCCATGGGAGCAGGCTATGTAAGGTGACTTTGCCCTGGGTGGGCTTGGAAACTCTTTGGAACCTTCTTTTTTATGCTAGAGTGTCCAGGGAGGTTGTACTGCCCTCTAGCTGAAATTGTATATAAATGGCTTTTCTAACACAGTTTCTGATTAGGACATTCAAGAGTATTTCACAGAACAAATTAGCTAGAAAAAGCTAAGTAAATTCTTTTTTAAGCACACAATTTTCAGGCCCATTTTTAGATAGTAAAGTGGTGCTCGGATTCTACCCGAAATGAACTATTTGTTAATCAGAGGGTAAAATTGTTTGTTGGACTTACCCAGCAGGGGACAGGACTCCTTTTGTGGCATGCCACAGTTGACACATTTGCCGTTCCTATAATCCCGGTAGGAGTCACAGGGATATGCAGTGATAGCACAGTTCTCTCTCAGAGAAGAAAGGTACAGGTACACGGACCTCTGATGGTCACACTTAAAATATTGCAATCCTTTATCATAAAGGGAACAATGAAAGAGTAGAGCAGTCGTAGCATTTAACAATAATACATCACACATTATAGGCACACACAGTTCACCATCTGTCTGCTATAGGCCAAGCACTGTGCTAACAGCTTCCATTTAACCCTTACAAAAACCTATAGATCAGCATTCATACTGGCACGTGGCAGGATAAAAGATAGGCATGATCATCCCCATTTTACCTAGTAGCACATTGAGACTCAGCTTAAATGACTTGACCAAGGTCACACGACTATTATGTGGTTGAATCAGGATTCAACCTATGTCCTTCCTTTGTCAGTGAAAAGGACAAGAAAGATTCAATGGTAGTCAGAGTTTCCCCAGAGATTTTCAGCAGAGCACATTTAAACTAGTAAAGACATCAGAGAAAGGGGCCATTGAGGAGTAATTGTTAGAGGAAGATCCCCAAGGAGGGCAGGCACAGGAGACAGCTTTGAAAAAGGATGGGGGATGCCTCCACCTTGGGGGCAGAAGGAAACAAAAATGTAAAGACTGACCTTGTAAACTAAAATGAGGATACATAGAATGGCTCCCTCAGGTGAGATCTTTAATCTAGGTAAAAAGGCAAATCTAGATCACCTCTAAGAGGTGAGGGTTTATAGGTGGGGAGATTTTCAGAATAGAAGCATGAGGAGTGATTGTAAGGAGTTGGCAAGAGATAAACATGAGGATTCTGTGACGTTATTGAGGGCCATGGAGAAGTAACCAAGTTTTCCTGGACCTTGTACTCAATTAACCAGGCTCCGTGACAGCTCCGGAATGTTCTCAAGCCAAGGTGGTGGCTGACATGACAGAGACCTAAGGGGGTCTCTAATGGGATTACATTCATGAGAGAAGCCCAGTGGCAGGGGCTCTGTTTCTGCTACAGAGTGAAGGGTGGAATGAGAGGGACTGAACAATAGGAGGTGGCACCAGAAGCCATGAATGGGCAAGAAGAGGCAAGAGGCAAGCTCTAGTTAATTCCTGGTGGGTGCCAGGTGATGCAGTGGTGAGACAGGAGGCCAGCAAGGCATGGAGACGGCGTCAGGAGAGTTGGACATGATGAAGCAATGCAGCACACAAAACTGAAAGGTGGTTGGAAGGTTGATGGGTCAGATGAGGAAGGGGAACTGGGTCCCAAAGATGGGTAATCAGAGGAGGTGAGGATCTGAGTAGGAAACAGTGAACCAAATAAGAAAGGAGTTATGATTGTGAGCTAGTGGTTTGGAGAGGCACTGTTGTTTGAGTCAGAACAATGTTTCTTCTTTCCCCACAGTCCACTTATGTATGCCCATAGAGGAGCTCAGTGAAGGACACAAATAAACTAGGGCAAGAGAGCAGAAACATGGGTTGGCATGGGACCAAGCCAGACAGGAACAAATCTGACAAGTCAATATTTACTTATTGTTCCTGGAACTTTCACTTGCCAAAACAATGATGTTGATAACAATACAGAGAATGGCCTTTATAAGCAAATCGCATTATCTTGGCTCCTCAGAAGTATTTACCCTACATCCTACAGGACAGGATTTGAACACACACCATTTATGGTGAAATATGGTTGACCCTACTTATGCCATTTAATCTGGATCATTTTCAAACACCATGTCCCCATGGGGCCATATACAGCTACCGTTTTGTAACAAGATTACCTTTTTCTAGAATCATATCCATGATTGTTTAACTTTCTCTGGCAATGGTGAAATACAGATTAAGAGCACCTAGGGATGGGTTTTTTATCGGAATAAAATACCACTATTACTTTTATGTTGCCATCTACTGTTTTTTTTTTTTTTTGCTTTGTGAAGTTTTTCTTATTATAAAATAATACATGCTGATTTAGAAAATACAAAATAATGGGAAATAATGATGCAAAAATCACCCAGAAGTCCAATATCCACAGTTCACCCCTAATAATTATTTGCAGCATTTATGCTTGGTCCTTTTTTCTATACTTACACATGTACAAATACACATTTAAAAAACAAATTGGGATGATACTGTATAGTTTTGTGTCATTTTCACTTAACATCCCATTGTAAGCATTTTCATTAATCTGAAAATATGACTTTCTGGCAATTATATTCCTTTGTGTGGGCATATCATAGTTATTTAACAATTTTCCATGTTGGATATTTAGATTATTTCTTAAAATGTAGCTACTATAAATAATACTATGTCAGATATTTTTGCACTTTGATTTTTGTTTACATTTTCCATTATTTCTCTAGGAAAGATTTCCAGATATGGAATTTCTAGGTCAAGGACACACCTTTTCATGAGAGAGCAATAATTCATAATAGCTCTTAATCATATGGTTATGGTTACTTATTTTTTAAATTTATTTTTTAAATGAAGCATAATTGGGGCACCTGGGTGGCTCAGTCGGCTAAGCGTCCGACTTCAGCTCAGGTCATGATCTCACAGTCCGTGAGTTCGAGCCCCGTGTCGGGCTCTGTGCTGACAGCTCAGAGCCTGGAGCCTGCTTCAGATGCTGTGTCACCCTCTCTCTCTGACCCTCTCCCGTTCATGCTCTGTCTCTCTCTGTCTCAAAAAAAATGAATAAAAAACATTAAAAAAAATTTTTTAAGTGAAGCATAATTAACATACACTGTTATATTAGTTTCAGATGTACAATATAATGGTTCAGCAATTCTGTACGTTATTCAGTGCTCATCATGGTAAATGTACTCCTAATTTCCTTCACCCATTTCACCCATCTCCCCTTTGTCTTTCTCTGACTAATTTCACTTAGCATAATAGCCTGTGGATTCATCCATGTTGTGGCAAATGATTTGATCGATTCCCTTTTATAGCTGAGCAATATTCCATTGTGTAAATATACCACATCTTCTTTATCCATTCATCTATCGATGGATACTTGGGTTGCTTCCGTATCTTCGTTATTGCCAATAATGCTGCAATGTCTTGTTTTTTTTAAGTAGTATATTTGAGTAATAATTTTTCATTTTTCATTTATATTTATACTATCTCTATCTTCTCAGATGATTTGTTTTCTATTAAAAACTATTACCCGGGGCGCCTGGGTGGCGCAGTCGGTTAAGCGTCCGACTTCAGCCAGGTCACGATCTCGCGGTCCGTGAGTTCGAGCCCCGCCTCAGGCTCTAGGCTGATGGCTCAGAGCCTGGAGCCTGTTCCCGATTCTGTGTCTCCCTCTCTCTCTGCCCCTCCCCCGTTCATGCTCTGTCTCTCTCTGTCCCAAAAATAAATAAACATTGAAAAAAAATTAAAAAAAAAAAAACTATTACCCATAGAATAATATCAGATTTTTGAAATATGCCTTTTTAAAAACCACTATTATACAATATATAAAGTATTTGCACTTACCTCCCAATATTGTTTTGGGGCAACCAGGTTGATCCAATCCTCCATTTGGGTAGAAGTCTATGTTTCCTAATGGCTCCTTGTAGCCCAGTGCTAAAGGAAAATATATTATGGTTTTATTTTTGAACTTTTCACATCATGTAGCTCATTTGCCTGAAGGATATAGGCAGGCATTTGTGTTGTTGTTGTTCTACATATTTAAATATTTTGCTCAAAGCTACCCAGCTAGTTAGTTAGGAAGCAGGGATTTCCAACTAGGAGATTATAAAGACAGTAGGGGAATCTATTTCCAATATTTCTCAAGATGTAAGGGAGTTTTGGTCAGTCATTCACAGCAAGTCTGATAAAACTGTATGCTTCTTCTTTATATTTGGCTGGAACCTTCTAATTGCCAGTGCTTCCTGGGTCTCTAACTGCATTTGTGCCAGACTTTAATGAATAAAAAACGGGGGAAAAAAATGAAGAAAAAAAAAGAAAGAAACAGGAAAAAATGAACTTTTACTTTGTAAGAAAAAAAATTTTTTAAGTGGAAACTCTTCTAGAAAACGGGGACCAGGAAAAATATAGATTGATTTAATAATTGCTTATTCTTTTTAACCTTATAACTACAAACTAATCAGTCAAATGTTTGATTTAAAAGACTATTTATACATGTATACATAGTGCACCGTTGCGATAATAATAATACCTGTTATATATTGAGAACCTACATGTGTCTGTGGGGGTTTTTATACCTTTTATACACCTTTCCTCTAACATTCACACTGTCCAAAAAGTGGCCATTGGTAAATTCAGGTGAAGTAAGCTACAGATGAAGACACTGAGGTTCAGAGGACTTACAGAATGAAATGATCCCGCTAGAAAGGACAAAACCTGGGATCTGAGTCCACCCCTGCCTGACTGCAAAGCTTATTCTTTCCTCAAAATTCACTTTCTTTCCAAGAATAAAAAATACATTACTCTGTTCCATCAAGCATTAAAATGGCATCGAGGTACTGCACTTAAGTAAGGTAACGGTTTGCAAACTGCGTCATAAGAATGCAGCTGTTTCCTTTAAGGCCAACAATTGCTGAATACCACACCAGAGAGCCCATGATAGGTGATCAAGGGTTTTTCAGGTGGCTGTATCACAAAGAGGGTGTATTATTAAAGACTACTCTGCTCTGTCCCCTCAGCCTTCCGAGGTCCCTACTCTAGTTCTTGTCCCAGACGTCTGGATATAAAGACTCACCTTTAACATCACCCCAAACCCTATATCCTATTCCAAATGCCAGCTACGAAATCAGCACCATAAAAGATGGAAATGGCCAGGAAGATCCAGAGAAAGTTGGAGAGCTAAACATGGCTCAGAATCGCTCTCCAGAGAGAGACACAACACGAACTTATCTTTCAGCTTAAGAAAACGAGAAAGACCCAAGAAAAACCCAAAAAATGGAAATCATGCATCCCAACCCTGCTGCGTATGTGGAAACATTTGTTCACACAGTGTGAAAATCACCCTGTCCTTGATTGGTCAAGATGGTCACTTTAAAAATAAGAAAAGTTGATGGGAAACCTCCACTCCAGCAAGACATCCTGGATGCCTGCATTAAACCAGTGTCCCTTCAATACCTGGGTGGATTTGGAACCCTGCCCCGCAGGAAAAGAGGGAATCTGGAAGAACCTGATCCACCCCTGCATGAGGCTCCCCTCAGGGGAGACTCTTTAGGAGTCTGGGAGCCGGGTGCTCACTGACCCACAAGGACAGGAATGTTACCATCAATGTCGGAGTGGATGACGTCAACAAACTGTGCATCACCGGGATCTAATCTGTCCTCGGGAGGTCTCCCGTTGAATAAAGGGCCCGCAGGGTCGAGACCTGGAAAGAAAACGGAGTCGGCTTGGTAGCCCCACGCCATGAGTCACCTGCAGCGGGGCTTTTGATCCCTCTCCATGAGGATGGCAAGTAGGCTGCAGGGCACGCTCGCTCGTGTGGGCCAGCACTCGCATTCCCTTCCTGCTTTGTCAGCCTCCTTTCTACAGCCCCGTAGCCTTTTCCCACAGCAGAGGCAGTGCCCTCTGAGAATGGCATCCAGACCCCATTAGGAGCTATATCTTGTGCAGGGCTCAATAGCAGGGAGCGCACAGACGTGGGGACCAGGGACATGGGGATAAACTGGTTCCTCGGGAAAAAGCACCTGAAGGTGCATATAAAAAGCAGATGCTGTACTTATCCTGATTCTATTTTAAGTGATCCAGAAACCCCACTCAACCTTTCCTTCTTATTATTAATAAAACTCCTGTACAGTTTCAATTTTTATTCATATATCCTAAGTCATATGATCCACATCACAAGCCTGTTAGGGAGGCAAGGTAGATATTATTCCCATTTTACAGATGCATGAACTGAGGTTCGGGGAGTTCAAGTATTTTAACCAGAGTGGCAGCCTCACAGTGCAACGAACTCTCTCTATGGAGCTCTTGGTTTCATTGCACTGGGTTTGGCAAGCTCAGTGGGAAAGTATGAAACTCACTGGTCAGGCCAGGTATCAAAGAGGGATAAAAAAATGGGTGTCCGTTCCTGCAGAATTAACCCACTCCATAAATGCCTGAGCTGATTTCTTGCCCTTGGTCACTGTTAGCTGGGCATTCCTAACCATCAGCTGGAAAAACAAGAGTGCAGCTCCTACCAGGTTCTAACCACAGCTAACAACTTTAAAACAATAACAGGAAAACGCCAGAGGTACTCAAAACCCTGCTTACTAGAAACCTACCTGGAGTGAAGAATGTTTCAAAGGATGTTTCAAAAATTTTAACCTATCGGGGCACCTGGGTGGTTCAGTCGGTAAAGCATCCGACTTCAGCTCAGGTCATAATCTCACAGTTCGTGAGTTCGAGCCCCGCGTCGGGCTCTGTGCTGACAGCTCAGAGCCTGGAGCTGCTTCAGATTCCGTGTCTCCCTCTTTCTCTGCCCCTCCCCTGTTCACGCTCTGTCTCTGTCTCAAAAATAAATAAATATTTTAAAATTTTTTAACAAAATTTTTAACCTCTGAAAGACATTGTAAATTTTGTTTTTAATGTTTTTTTATTTTTGAGACAGAGGGAGACAGAGCGTGAGTGGGTTAGGGTTAGGGAGAGAAGGAGACAGAGAATCTGAAACAGGCTCCAGGCTCTGAGCTGTCAGCACAGAGCCCAGTGCAGGACTTGAACCCACGAACCGTGACCTGAGCCAAAGTCCGACACTTAACTGTGCCACCCAGGCCCCCCCTGTGAAAGACATTTTAAATAGCATCTTCCATCCCCTGGGGTTAGATATAAAATCCAAGAGGTAGCATTCTTGCCTCGACTTCCCTGGTTCTAGCCTCAATCTTTCTATTTCTCCTCTGCCAACACTTTGCTTCCTTGAGGCTTGTCTTTATCTGTCTCCTTTCCTTATCTTTCTCTTCCCCACCCCTCCAGCTTTTCTTCTTCCTTGGTCGGTTCTCAACTGAAACTGATGTGAGATGGATGAACACCCAGACACCCAAGTCGGCAGGACATCCTCAACACAGCATGAGAAACTCATAATCTTGGAAAGAGTTTGCTCAGGAAGCCCTTCTGGTCTAAGGAAATGAACAGTCAGAGCCCCAGTTTGTAGCAACCTCCGGATCTATAGCAGATAAATTGGTTTACTATATAACATTCAAACCAGGGCAAATTTGAGAGTGATGAGGGCACTATTGACAATTAATGGAGACAGGGATAGTGAGCTTGGATATATGATCACCTTAGTGACAATTCATAGCAAATAATTAGCTTACAATGTCAGCCAAAAATCACAGTTAAAGTGCCCAATAAGCGATATATTGTGTGGACAGAGACCATTGGAGTCAGACAGATGTGACATGGGGCCTCAAACCTAGCACCAACCAGCTGTATGTTGGTGGTCACTTTACTTCTCTGAGCCTCAGTTTTTTTTTAATCTGCAAAATGGAGGTGGAATTATTGGCTACCTCAGAAGACATATAAAAGGACTCCTAGATCTGAATCCAGAACATTTTGAGATTATTATAGACTAGAAACAAAATGAGAAAATGGAGCTCTTTCTTATTGCCTAAAGATCACCAAGAAAGTGTCTAGATAGTGCTCATTGGCTTTTATTTTTTTAATTTTTTTAATGTTTATTTACTTTTGAGAGAGAGAGAGACAGAGAGACAGAGAGAGAGAATGAGTGGGGGAGGGGCAGGCAGAGAGGGAGACACAGAATCTGAAGCAGGCTCCAGGCTCCAAGCTGTCAGCACAGAGACTGACATGGGACTCAAACTCATGAACTGTGAGATCATGACCTGAGCTGAAGTCGGATGCCCAACCAACTGAGCCACCCAGGTGCCCCTCATTGGCTTTTATTACAGTATTAACCAGTTAGAGAATTTGACGAAAGTCCTAGACCTCTCCCTGGACATCCAAAATATACCTCTCCCCAGGACAGACAGCTGACATTTTGCATGCAGTTTCAGGGGCCTCATATTCCCATCCCCAACCTCACCATGAACTCTCTAAGGCACCGCTGTCCAATAATGTGAGCTACGTACATAGTTTTAAAATTTCTAGAAGCCAATTTTAAAAAAGTAAATAGAATTAAGGAGAATTAATTTTTTTATTTTTTTTAATTTTATTTGTTGATTTGAGAGAGAGAGAGCCTGTGAGCAAGGGAGAGGGGCAGAGGGAGAGAGAGAATCTTAAGCAGGCTCCATGTTCAGCACAGGGCCTGACTTGGGACTCAATCCGATGACACTGCGATCGTGACCTAAGCCAAAATCAGTTGGATGCTCAACCAACTGAGCCACCCAGGCACCCAGGGGAGAATTAATTTTAATAATACATTGTATCTAATCCATTTTATTTAACCTAGCATATCTAAAATATTATCATTTCAACATACACTCCATATACAAAAATTGAGATTTTTAATATCCTTTTCTTTTTACTTAGTCTTTGAAATCCAGTGTGTATCTTGCACTTACAGAACATCTCAGTTTGCATTAGCCACATTTCAAGTGCTCAGTGGCTACATGTAGTTAGTTAGTGGCTACTATATTGGGCAGCATAGCTCTATGGTCATTTCTCAAAGTATGGTGTTCAGACCACCTGCATTGTCTGGTTAAAAGTAGACTTCTAGGGGCACCTGGGTGGCTCAGTCTGTTGAGCTTCCAACTTCGGCTCAGGTCATGATCTCATGGTCTGTGAGTTTGAGCCCCACATCAGGCTCTGTGCTGACAGCTCAGAGCCTGGAGCCTGCTTCAGATTCTGTGTCTCCCTCTCTCTCTGACCCTCCCCCATTCATGATCTGTCTCTCCCTGTCTCAAAAATAAATAAACATTAAAAAAAATTTTTTTTAAGTAGACTTCTGGACCCCACCCCCAGAGTGCTGATTCAGCAAGTTGGCATTGTAACCAGCACCCCTAAGGAGACTTTTTTACACCCTTAAGTTTGAGAAGCAAATGTAATATATTATCAAGTGATGTAGGTACTTGGAATATTTTAAAATCCACTTATGCTCTGCCATCTTGTGCTAAAGAAGCTAAAGAGAAATAGTGGTGCCTGGCTGGCTCAGTTGGTAGAGCATGAGACTTAATCTCAAGGTCATGAGTTCAAGCCCCACACTGGGCAGGGAGTCTACTTAAAATTAAAAAAAAAAAAAAAGAAAAACTAAGAAGTTACTGAGAAACCAGGAGATGTGCCTGGAGAGAAAAAACAAAATGTCAGAAGAAAGAGAAATGGAAGAAAAAAGCCGCCATTACAAGCCAGATAATTAAAAGCAGAACCATCCAATTGTGGGAGTTGGCTATGAATTTCATCTTTAGGCAACAGACCAAGTTCCCACTCTACAATCTGGTGAACCCAGTCAGAAAAGGTGGTGGAAGGTGAGCAGAGAAGGGGAACACTTCACCCCTGAAGCCGCCCTGGAGAACAGCTGAAATTTGACTTTGGGGATCAGAGAGGATGAGGAATCTGAAGGACATGGGACAGTCAGGGGCCACAGAAAATTGAGCTGTGGGCCATTAGCTGAGTCCGGGCCACGTGGGCCCAGAGTGGAAGGCAGACTGGCTTGGGGAATTTCCACGGTCAGAAAGCAGGTTGCACTGCACTCACATTCACAATAGTCATGGGAGCAGGTTTGCTGGGAACCAAGCTGGGGGTGAGACTGAATGAAGTAGTGGTGGGCTGAAGCCTTCCAGGCCCAGGACTGGAGGGCAGATTTTGCTCATCTCTTCCCAAACTTTGTGGTTATTAATGTCAGACTGGTAGCTTGAAATCAGCAGTGGTGAGAGTATTCAGACCATGGAGATCAGCAGACACTAAAAATCAGGACTTTTTTTTTTTTTTTTTTTTTCTTTTGGAGAGCAGTTCAGGTTCTTAACATACTCTCAGGGAGAGTCCCACCCACCAGAAGAAGAGTTCCCAACAGATAAGGGACACAAGCAGATTCAAGCTACCTGTCCTTTGATCCCATAAGGGAAATGAAATTTTTTAAAAGGACATGTTGCATTCTAAAACATAAAAATAATAATAATGTGAAAAATGTAAAAAAGCGCTCTGCCTCCCGAGGAAAGCAGGTAAATAAGATGAGGGAGGCCTTGGCCCCTGGTGTGAAAGTGAGAGAAAAAAATCCAGGAAAAACAGAACAATGTGATCTCAAGTAGCAGGGCTAAAGGAGACACCCATGATGCGCGCGCACCCGCGCGCGTGTGTGTGTGTGTGTGTGTGTGTGTGTGTGTGTGCGCGCGCGCACGCGCATGTGACAGAGAGAGAGAGAGAGAGAATGACTTGCCCAGGGGTACCAGGAAGCACATTTAGAAACAATGGCCCTAAAAGTTTACCTCACAAGTATAGTTGGTTTGAATCTCTTCTTCCTCATTGTCTACTACCCTCTGGATTTCCTAGATTGAAAATAGTTCTCTGTGTGTAAGAATGGATTCTGGGAAGGGTATCAATGCGGGGGAGAAGACTTGAGTCTCTGAAACAGAAAGCCTCCCTCATCCCATCCTCTGTAGCTGTGGAAAGTTACTGGAGCAGTAGGCAAGAGAACCCAGCAAAGGAACCTTTGTTTGGGATTTCACCTGCTGTTTCTGAGTTTTCATTCAGCTTTGTCCTGAAAGCTGATATTCAGAGAGTAAACCCCTCTATCAAAATTCCCGTCTCATTTTCCTATCATGAGATTCCAGCTGTGCCTGGGATGGAAACATATTAGGTATGTAGTTCAGGCTATATTAGATTAAATGAAAGGAAGATCGCTGTTTGGACAGCACAGATCAAATCCCCATGGGATATAGCTGTTATTCCTAACCATAAGAGAAATAAAGTTACCACCAACCTTTTCTATGGCATATACAACTTACTGTGTTTTGCACATATTTTATTAAATAATACCCTGAGGTCAGTATTATCATGGCCTCACCTTTGCACAAAAGGACACACACACACTCAGAGAGGTTAAGTAATTGGAAGAGCTGGCTTTGAACCCAAAGACTTGAATTGTCTGCATCATGATCTCCCAGTGAACATCCCGCCCAGGCCAACTACCCCATGTCCATTCGCAGGAAACCTTACCTGTAATTCTTCCCAGCTGCCCATTGTACATCTTTCCAACAAACCCGGATATGTGGGCTCCTAGACTTACTCCGATCATATAAATGTTGTCAAGAGAAGCTCCTTCTACCTGGAATTTTAAGAGGTCCATCGTTACAAAATTGTGAGGGGCCATGGAGTTGACAACATTTGGAGAAATTGCCTAAACTTGGCTTTGAAAACACTTCTTTGGAGAAACATTTCTAAGCAACTTATATCTATGAGCTCATTTAAATGTCACAACAACAAAGTAAACATTCTTCTTTGGTTATACAGATGAGGAAACTGAGGCCCAGAGTCAAAGTAACCTGCCCAATATCAGGCAATTGGGGAGGGGCAGACCAGTCTGTTCAACTCCACGCCTGTGCCTTAACCTTTATGCCATGGTGTCTCTATTCATGCTTCTGCTAGAAACCAAGCTGAGACATCTTTAAATCCCTCCCAGTTGAGGAGAAGGGCAAAGAAGCATTTTGATAAACTCCTTTATCTTCAGGCTGGCTCAGTTAATGAATTCTCCATGGAGAGAGAAGGAAGGAAAGGAAGGGGTGGCGGTGGGGGACGACACTGACCACAGTCTGCTGGGACAGCCTGTTGTGAGTCATTTTAATATTCACTTTAAGGCTGCGGCTTAAGTGGAAAGCTTTGTGAAACTTCTGCTGCCTCTGGCCACAGTGCCCACCTGACCTAATTCTCTCTGAAATAGTCCTGATATAAAGTAACTTTTTTGTTGTTGTTTTTTATAAAGGGGGCAATTCATGAGATAGATCACTAAATAAAATTCAAGATCTATTTAATCTTTGTGAGTCTTCTAAAAATATAAATCATACACACACACAAATCTCTCTTCAGACCGTGTTCATTGGTTTTGGTTTTTGGATAATCTGGCCAGTAAATCTTAAGCTTTTCTAGGAAAAGGAATAGTTATAGAAGATGAGGAATCTCTCTACAGTGAAGCCAGAAAACCCCTAGACAAAAATCTCTCTGACCCGTAAGACACCTTTATGTGAATTAGGAAAAGATGTCCTTTCCTGAGGACACTTTACTGTTATTGGTGGGACAGTATCATAATAAATATATAGATCTGTGACGTGTACAATGACAGCTGTGCTCCCTTAGATGTGCAGTGCACAACTTGCACAACCATATCTATGGGCCTTCCCTCTAGGCGTTCCGTCTAGCTTCCCTGGGGCTTATTCAGGTTTTTAAAATAGTCCCTCTGTTCACTGCAGCTATCTCTTGGTTTTAAATCTCCAGATAATGGGCCAGCTTCAATTTGCCCCTGAATGATGTCAGAGAATGCTCTCTTACCAACACCCGGTCGATAAATTTCTTCAAGACTTCTGCTACTTTTCTGGTCTTACTAAAGGCATGGTTGTATATCACAGTTGTAGCTCCTCGATTCCAATCAACAACAATCACATTCATGTCTTCTACGGAGAGCAAACTCTGTACCAAGTCCTCCATCCAAACTGGAGGGGAGCCTGTAGGTCGGAATCCATGGACAATAAAGGTGGTTTTCTTGGTCACATTCAAGTTCCCAAAAATTGTGGAGTTGATGACTTGTGCACAGGTCAGGTTTTTTCTGGTGTAGAGCATCAACTTCACATTTAGTCCTGTACCGACCACTGCACTGTGAAAGCTCAGTTTGGTGAATGAAGGACATGTTTCATCTGTGTCTGAAAATAAAAATTAGATGTCATGACAATTCTTTCCTTAGCTGGGCGTCAAACAAGAGTGCTGCCCTACATTCACTGGAGTTCCTTCTGTGCTTTACAGCACCCAGCAGGAGGCTGGATCTAGTTGAATGAAGTTGCAAAGTCATACGTTATTCAGCACACATAAGTAGTGACTTCTTCTTCAGTAGGAAAACCATTTTTCCAAGTCTTACTCTCCTTCAAGGTCTAATCCAAAAGTCACCCCAATGAAGCCTCCTCCAACTCTCCCAGCCCTAATACTCTTTCATCCCAGAACTCCCCAAAACCTTGTGTATGTCTCATTGACAGCAAAACGAAAACACTTTCAGGGGTGCATAATGGATATTTACGTACATGTGTGTCTATCTTGCTGGCCCACTTCCTTGGAATGGTGTTTTGTAATCCATGTATCCCTCACAGTGCCCAGCACCTAGTAGAGGCCTCAGTAACTGTATCTGCATGGTCCAAACACCTCTTTCCTTGTCTAGAGCACCTGCCTGGGACAACAGTGGAGAACGTGATGTGTCTTGCCCTGACCCTTTCAGTAGCATCTGGAACAGTTGAACCACGGTGCCTTCTTGGACCCTATCCTTCTTTGTTCCTCAAGCAACCTAGCATTCATCCTCCTGAGTAAGCTCTAAGAATGGCTTTAGGAGAAAGGTTGGGGATGAGGTGGAGAAAAGCAAATGATGAAGCTGGAACATCTTGTCGTGGCAGAGTGTAAGCGAGTGTTTAAAAACATGTCACAAGGACCTAGAAAGCCAGCCTGAAGGGGCTTCTGCTGGCCAGATCTGGGATAATTTGAGCATAAAATAATTAAGGACAGTAATGAACTATAGACCTTTAGGGAAACAACGGATCCACGATTCTGTAACAAGCAAAGAAACAGGATAAACAAGCAAAGAAACAAGATAAACAAGCAAAGAAACAAATAAATGGAAGAGAGAGGAGGACTCTTAAGGTATAGTGCTGAATGCCAGCTGGTAAATGTGGAGTGAACGCCGGGGTTGAAACTCATCATGTGGCAGCCATCATAATAAATTGGTTATGCAAGAATTAAACTGAGGAGGTGGTTATTTTGAGAAGGAGCACATCTGTATTTCCTTAAACTTCCTCCCACAGACTGCTAATGAGTAAGGGGAAATTGGTAACTGTGCAATGGAGAAATGGAACAACACCTTGACTAGGTTGTCAAACTAAACATTACCATTGAGGGGCAGATGGACACATGTGCCTCTTGCTGTCGTATTCCAGTGGGGAATGCATTAACCTGAACCTAATTATGGGGGAAACACCAGACAAACACAAAATGAGGAATATTCTTTTTTTTTTTTTTTTTTAAAGGACCTGTAGGAGCTGGGTGTGATGTAGCTGTGGCCAGGCTGCCAGGGAAGGGGGCTTATGGCACCAAAAAAAAAATTTTTTTTCAAGAAAAAAAAGTTTTAAAAATTAAAAATAAAAAAGGCCTCTATTCTTAAAAAACATCAATGTCATAAATGACAAAGAAAGACTGTGGAAATGCTCTAGATTAAAGGAGACTGAAGAGGTAGGATGATGAATAAGTGCAATTATCTGGTCTTAGACTGGATCCTGCCATGGAAGAAAAAAATTGCTATACAAGAAATTATTGGGCCAATTGACAAAATTGGGCTATGAACACTAAATCAGATAAAATTATGATATTGGCGTTACATTAATTGAGGTTGATAACTATATAGTGGTTTTGTAGGAGAAAATCTGAATTCTTAGGAAATACAACTAAAGTGTTTATAACTAAATGGCCAACTTATTCTCAAATGGCTCAGAAAAAAAAAAAATTAGAGGCAAAGAGAGACAGTAAATGATAAAGCATTTGTAGCAAAATGTTAGCAGTAGGTGAGTCCATGTAAAGGATTATTGGTGTTCTGTGTATTTTTCAAAAGTTCTTATAGCTTTTCTGTAAGTTTAAAATTATTTTCAAAGAAAAGCTTAAATAAAAGGGAAAAAGAAAGGGCAAGAGCCATATCAGTAGCATGCAAAGCAGGAGGGAGGTTACGAGTTCTGATATCAGAAAATGAAGGTAGGCAAGAATGCTTAAATCTTCTGCTGGAAAGGAAACAGGAAGTTGGAAATAAACTAAAGATCAAGATGCAACTTGAAAGAGGAGTTAGGAAGGAAGGAGGGCTTTGGGGTCCTTGAGTACTGAAATAAAGTGTTACTTTTACAACATTGTATAAGGCCGTGATCATGAATCTCAATCAAATGAAAGCTCAGGTCAACATTGGCATGCAGACCCAACAATATGATGTTTGAGAAAACTGTGTTTTGTTTTGTTTTGTTTTGTTTTGTTTTGTTTTGTTTTAATTACAAAAACGATTTAAAACTATTAGGGCACACTCTCCTACATCCTACTTGGCTGAGAGAGAAGAGTCCAGAAGGAGGTGAAGTGGAGCAACAAACAGTCCCTAGGTGCAAGTTGGAGATGGTCCTTTAGCTATTCAGTAGAGGGGGCAAGGTCCTATGGATGACCATTCTTCGTGGGAGGGCATAGAAGAAGAAGACTATTGACTTGCGACTGGCGGAAAGGAGACAGGAGTACCTTGGGAAACACCTGCTGTGTCTTCCTCCAGTAGAAATTTAAGAACCATTTGCCCTGGGCCCTTATTCTCAGTCAATCTATACTTACATACCCAGGAATTGCTCTTCCCTCATTCTGAGCCTCAGAACAGACTTCATCCTGGCATCTCTGCCCTTTCTTTCTTTCTTTTTTTTTTTTTAATGCTTATTGAGAGAGAGAGAGAGAGAGAGGGAGAGAGAGAGAGAGAGAGACCAGGAGAGGGGCAGAGAGAGAGGGAGACAGAATCCAAAGCAGGCTTCAGGCTCTGAGCTGTCAGCACAGAGCCCGATGCGGGGCTCTAATTCACAAACTGTGAGATCATGATCTTAGCCGAAGTTGGACGCTTAACTGACTGAGCCACTCTGGCGCCCCTCTACCCTTTCTTAATAACCTGGGTCCATTCATGTATGCTTTTTTTAATGTTTATTTATTTTTAAGGGGGGGGTAGGGAGGGGCAGAGAGAGAAGCAGGCTCCAGGCTCTGAGCTGTCAGCACAGAGCCAGACGTGGGGCTCCAATTCAAGAACCATGATATCATGACCTGAGCCAAAGTCAGACGCTTAACTGACTGAGCCACCCGGGCTCCCCTATGTATTCTTTTATTTAAAACTTCTTGCAGAGGCTCTGGATACTCAGCAATGAATGAAGTGCCAAAATAGAAGAGGCAGAAGAAGCTCAAATGGAAGGTTAAAAATTGAGGCTTTGAAATCCCTCACCCTAGAAAATACTGGTTAAAAATTGAGCCCCAAACTCACATATTCCTCCTTTGGCTCTACACTGGCAAGTAGTATATACAGTGAGGCATGCTTACAATTATCTGTCCTCCCCCCTCCCACAGCTTAATTGAGATATAGTCAACAAGTAACATTGGAGTAAGTTTAAAGGGTAAAACATGGGGTGCCTGGGTGGCGCAGTCGGTTAAGCGTCCGACTTCAGCCGGGTCACGATCTCGCGGTCCGTGGGTTTGAGCCCCGCGTCGGGCTCTGGGCTGATGGCTCAGAGCCTGGAGCCTGTTTCCGATTCTGTGTCTCCCTCTCTCTCTGCCCCTCCCCCGTTCATACTCTGTCTCTCTCTGTCCCAAAAATAAATAAACGTTGAAAAAAAAAATTTAAAGGGTAAAACATGATGATTTGATATATGCGTACATTATAAAATGATTTCCACAATAAGGTTAATGCACCCACATAGTTACATATTTTTGTGTATGTGGCAAGAACATTTTAGATCTACTCTCTTAGCAAATTTCAAGTATACAGTACGGTATAATTAACTACAGTCACTATGTTGTGCCTTAAATGCCAGAACTTACTCACTCACCTATGTAAATATTTTCTCCTTCTCTTGGCCTCTTTCATTTTTCTCTTCCTGTAGATTGCATGCTCCTGGAGAACGTGGACTGAAACTTGTCTGGTGCTTGTAGAGCAAGACCCAGAGCACATAATTGACTGTTTAATTAGTCATTTTACTGAACAGGAGGTGTCATGAGGTAGGGCTGAGCCTCTTGGTCTCAGCCATCAGTAAAACTGGGCTTTGTTCCTTGTTGTGTAACTGACTCACCAGGTGGCCTGGGGAAATCATGCCATCTTTCACTTGCCACCTACCTGCCCCAGAAAGGAATGCTTTCAGATTAATCACAAATGAGGTCATACTGGGGAAGGGAGAGATCCCCTTCCAAAGAAGAGATCTGTTTGTTTTGAGCAATATAGGCCAGTGTGTCAGAAGTCACATATCTGAGTCATTGGAAGGCTCAGGTAAGAGTCGTAAAGTTTGGGCCAGAGCTATTTCTCAGCACATCCGCCACACCTTCCATGTCTATGGAACAGATCAGCCAACCTCCTTGACTTGCTGAGCCTTTACCAGACCCTTTACAACGGACAGTTACTGAAAGGCAAAAAGGACAGAACAAGTGGATTTTTTTAAGATTTATTTTTCAGAGAGAGAGAGAGAGAGAGAGACAGAGAGGGAGGGGTACAGAGGATCCAAAGCAGGCTCTGTGCTGACAGCAAAGAGCCCAGTGTGGGGCTTGAACTCACAAACTGTGAGATCATGACCTGAGCTGAAATCGGATGCTTAACCGACTGAGCCACCCAGGAGCCTCCGGAACAAGTTGATATTTATTTTTCATTTGCTAGAACCACTCTGACATCACGTATTTTTCAATGCATGCATTGGGCTCTGGAAAAGCCCATTGTAAGTACTGAGTGAAAAATGGATTTCCTCGTTCCTTTCTCTCAGTACAAAATATTATAACAGCTTTATATATATTTTCTCTCATCGTCAGAAGAAATGTGCAATTCATCCAACAAGAGTCTACTTTCTCCTAGGTTCTGGGTCAGGCGGCATTTTAGAGGGAGAGTCAGGCATTAATGAAGTAAAACACACAAACA